AATGAAAATTTTTTTGCCATGATAAAAGAAAAATTAATGACAAAAGAAAAAGAGAACGCTTTTTAAAATCACTTGAAGCTAATTTGGTAATAAAAACATTGCTTTCCGGATGATAAAGTTTACGTCGTTTTGCTTTTTACGTTACGATATTTTGGGTGATGTTGGAAGCTATGCTCCAACGCAATCATCTGGTATTTGACAAGCTTTTATAATAAAATCGAAGAGTAAATTAAAACCTACTTTGACATTATATACCTTATCAATGTAGGATCTATAAAAAAGTATGTGCGTACATATATTGAGCCAACACAGAGAGAGAGAGAATTTTTTTAGAATAGATAAGACTAAAAATTGTTTTTTGAGCGGGGCAATGGGGGGTTAAATAACTACGCAACATATTGCTTTATGATTGTACCCTCAGACCTGTGCTATTAATTGTTAGTAGTTGTCTTGACATTCCTAATTTTCCTGATAAAAAATATTTCGTCCTCTGATGTCTAGCTTTTTTTCCTGGTGCTCCAGACTTTGTGTGTTTAGTACAACCCACCAATAGAAATGCTTATTTTTAAAGTAAATAAAAAAGAAACTCAATCAACAATTTTATAATATTAAATATATTATAGGTTATTTTTTAATGCAACGATACTATAACAATTTTTTATCTAATACTATAAAAATTCTTGTTGTCTACTGCTCCAAGTTAAAATTAACTAACGTTATAACTTTCTGACTAAAAAAAGTCATTCTTAATTTGATAATATGTAGTATATTCCATTATTCTTTTACGATAAAATTTGCCTCAATTATACTTAAATGGAGTAAAATTATCTTTTTCTTTAATTCGTCATTTACTTTTTTTTTTAATAGTTGCCTTGTATATCTAGACTGTACAAAAAATGCCCTGTTTTTTGTGCTAATTTTTTTTCTTTGACCTGCAACGAGACCTGTACTTTTGCACTAATTAATATTGACCTGTGGACAAAGAAATTAGACTCATCCTATCTTTTTTAAAATAAAACTTAAAGTAAAATAATTTACGAATACTGTAATATATACTCAACGCTAGTCGAAAAAGTAAAAGCAATGTAATTTTTTTAGGCTACATAAACGTCAAACGATTAAATTCGTCTACATTACAACGTCAAACGTGATTGAAAAGAAAAACTTGAATAACATCTCAACTCTTCGCTGCACGTGCTGAAATAACTATAATATCTTTCTTCCGGCGATCGTGCGTGTAGTTGCTTATATCACGGTTTTATATTATTTTTTTTATTAAGGAAAAGTATTCGCCTTCCTTTGCTAAGCAGAAAAAAATAATTCCGAATTGTTTTAGGAAAACAGAGTAATATAGAAAATGCTTCTATAAATAGTTTCCAAAGCCTTCTTTCCATAGTTTCGAAAAAGAAAAAAAGCAGTAACTGAACCAAAATTTTTAGCTAATGTATTGATCCATTTATAAATGAAGCGGAAAAGAGATTTTGAGAGAAATTTTATCTTTCAATTTTACTTTTTGCTTATATCGCCATATCTCGAGAACTTTTTAAGCAAATTAAAGAATTTTTGTACACAATTATGAAATTCGTTTATCTGAAGATAGTTCCATGCAAAATATACCATACCTTTTAGCACATATTTTTTGTTTTTCATTATTTTATTTAAGTTTGAATCGTAAAGTATAAAATTTTTTACATGATTTTAATGAATGTAATTTTTAAAGATAAAATACAAAATGTGAGCGAAATAAGTCGAATAGTTCCTGTGAAATCGAATTTTAAATATACGACTTTTTCAAGATTTTGTAGCTTAAAATATCGTCTGCTCTAATTGATTAGCATATTTGAGGCCATCCCCTTAAAACTTTAAAGATTTAATCCTAGAACGTGAAGATCTGGTTGTTACATCAAAAGTTATTTAGGGTGGTTCATTTATTTTTTTGCGCACTGTTATGTGCGTTAAAAAGAAGAAGAAAAAAAATGGACCACCCTGAATAACTTTTGATCTATTGATCGAATTTCACGTTCTAGGACTCATTCTTAATGGTTTGAGCGAAATGGATCGAATAGTTCCTGAGAAATGGAATTTTAACTATACGACTTTTTTAAAATTCAATTTTTCAGGAACTATTCAACCGATTTTGCNGCGCACTGTTATGTGCGTTAAAAAGAAGAAGAAAAAAAATGGACCACCCTGAATAACTTTTGATCTATTGATCGAATTTCACGTTCTAGGACTCATTCTTAATGGTTTGAGCGAAATGGATCGAATAGTTCCTGAGAAATCAAATTTTAACTATACGACTTCTTTAAAATTAAATTTTGGAACTTTTGCTTAAATTTTGCATTTTGCCATGTAAAATTAATTACATACATGATGCAAAAAATTGTATATCATGCAATTTAAGACTTTTTCGACTATTATTTAATACTATAATAAAGAGTAATACATATTTGTTGCTAAGATAAATTTTTTTGCATGAATTATCTTTGGATAAATGAATTTTATAATTTTTAAAATCTCTGGTTGTCCCACTATGGACTGACCGTTACGATACAGTTCTCGGAAGATCATCGAAATCAAGCATCGCTGGCAGCTGACAGTGAGTGGGTGGGAGACCGCTTTGATCAGACTGCGAAAGGAACGATGGTGCACGGTATCAGTCCTCGTTAGATTGAACGACCATAAAGAGCTCGACTTCGCTCTCAGGTCGTCGGGCTACTACGCCGGATGCGGGAGGTGTCATTTTCTCTGCAGAGGATCAAAATTGTGATGGGATGTCTTCGTATCATCCTCAAGGATGTTTCCCAGACCTTCGCTAGTAGCTCATTCTTCAGCTCTTATAGAGTACTACTGCTCAGGGTTCGTGATTTTTTTGATTTTCCTAAAAAAAATCAAAAAAATCGGATTATTTTGATTTAAATCGGATTTTTTTGATTGAAATCAGATTTTTTTTGATTTCTATTCAAAAACACTATAAGAGCTTTAATTTATGATTAAAAAAACCTTATAAATGTTTTATCAAAATTAAATTAATATTAAAACTATATTATAACAATATTTTAGAAGCTCTAACTTACTAAAATAATTTTTCATTATAATGCATAGCGACCATTTTGATACAAGGGCATGATTGAAATTAAAAGACAAGATAAAATAGATAATTTAAAGAATACTACTTTAACTAGTAACACAAAGTTTCAATTAGCACACCATAATTTTAATTTAAAATTGTGATCTCTTTTTTTTTCCCTCATGATTTATAAAATGGCAAAATAAATGCAACAGATTGTGTTTATAAATGTTGTCATTCATCAAAAAATAAATATTCAATCTATAAATTTTTATGTTAAAATATTCATTTTTAATCCTATATCAAAATACATAAGTTAAGCTAAAAAACATTTTAAAAAAATCTATGTACTCATTGGAATTTTTTTCACAAAAGAAAATCTGATAATTTCAAAGATACCGTAAACATATTATAAGAAGAAAAAAAAATACCAGTTAATAAACCCTACTGCTTCAAATAGACTTTGAAAGGGAAGAATGACACTATATCAGGAAAAAATATCTGAACTCAGCTTCTTTTTTTTTCTTTCTATTTTTGGCATATTAAGGTAATTTCTTTTTAATATTACCTCGAGCTTTAGAAACATAGAAATTTCCATCAATAAACTATAATGTAGATTTGAATTCCATGCTTTTTTAATCAAAAGGTAGAATTTTAATTAACATTTGCTTTTTTTTCTTTTTGAAAAAAAATCATGTTTATTTACTTTCTACAGCTATGCAAGTCTATATTAAGACAGCATTAAATATTTACTTTAATCTGTACTTTCAATGTTAAGAATCAAAAGATTTTTAAACATGTAATTTTAAATGTGTTTAACACACTCCAAGAAAGAAAGTAATTTCGTTAACTAAAATTAATTAATGCAGCAATTTATTTAAAATAAATTTTAAGACTAAGAAAAGAAAATAATAAAATTATCAATATTTAAAGCACTGTTTTTTAACTTTTGAAATCAATATAATATATATATATATAAATTAGTTGATTTAAATCAATGATTTTTTTAAAAAATTCATTTGATTTTAATCAGGATTTTTTTAAAAAATTCATTTGATTTTAATCATGATTTAAATCGTGATTTAAATCAAGCTGATTTAAATCAACGAATCCTGCTACTGCTACTTAAAAATCTCTTGATTTAACTTCTTAACTATGAACGATAAGCACACGTAGTCTGTAGCAATGCAGAGGAAAGTAGTGATTTCTGTTCTTAAATCTGATCTACTTATATAATTTGTTCATTATGCTCTTTGATTTTTAAACCCCTGTAAGTTTTTCAATGTCGGAAGATCATAAATTTGTTGCAAGAAAAAAATATTTCAGTGGGAAAAAAGTATTTTCTTGTTATTACTTTATAGCAGTGTTTCCCAAACTTATGACTTTTGTGTACCCCTTCTAAATTTTTCCTAACGCTGCGTACCACTGATAAAAAAATGAATGTACTTTTTACTATAAAAAAAAAATTGCGCAAAAGTTAAAAATCACAAATGGCTATTGACACCATTAAATATTAACTGTTAACTCTGCAAAAAATAGCCAATAGAAAAATACGTAATCGTAAATTTTTATGGCTANGATTGGGTGAGACAGAGTATTATCATACTTCGAAAAAGAATTTTATTACTCTCCCCCCAATTTTTTCTTCTAAAATGATTTTTATAATTGTAGCTAAAAGGATAACGTATTATTCGAATAAACATTTAAGGACTTTTGTTCACGGAGTTGCTCATGAAAAAAAAGTGTTATGAACTTAGTTTTGTTTCATTTTCCTTTATTTATTTCTTCTGAATGATCTTAGATCTAGATGATCTTAGTTTATTGGTCGAACTATTATTTGATGATTAAAAACTTACTATTTCGATTCATGACTGTATTTTTTCCCTCTTTTAATAAATTATTTAGTGCTAGGACTTGCATTGTTTTATTAATGAAATTTCCTCTTTTGCAGTCGAGAACCTTGGCCAAGAAGAAAATTGTTCATTACTCTTCCACAAACGGCGAGAAGCGTGTAAATGCAGCTTTTCTTGCTGGTTCTTATATGGTGAGAAATCCTGTCTGCCTTTGCTGTGATGCATTTGCTATATTGTAGTAGGATATTTTGTTTGTAGTTACGTGTTACATAGCATGATAACGTATGGTGTGCTACTTGTAACTTCAGGTCAGAATAGTCTCGAAGCTAAGATCAAGAATGACTATAAAGTCAAAAGTCCGTGTCTTGTTGAAGACTAACTGAAGATTTCTAAATATCTAAGAATTAAAAGAATAATAAATTAATAATTAAATATATGTATTTTTTTGTTGCATAAGTTACAAAGTAGAAACGGTCGGAATGGGCCATTAAAATATTGCGTAAACACTAAATGAAAGAGGTTTTATTTTCTAGTTATTGCTGACAAGGGGAGGAGGAGTATGAAACGCTTTATGTTTTGGAAACACAGTTTCTTCTTTCTAAGAAATATTCCTTGAAATCAGTATTAAAAAATTAAATAAGAATTACTTTAAGCATATATGGGATTGAGTTTGTGGTTTGCTAATTTTGTTTATAAGGAGAGTAAAAATTGATTAAAAAACATGAAATTTGGACTTATATAAGCTTTGAACAACTACTTAAAATAATTTACTTTCATTTATTTACTTTTTCACGCTTCTTTCATATGTAAATCTAAAAAGAGTATAATGTATTTAAGCACTTTAAGGATTCAAGAATGACTACCGCAGATGCATTATCCGCTAATTTTGTTGTTGAACTTAAGCAGCAATCGTTGTGGGCGTCACAGGGCTCCGATTTTTGAGGGGAACGATATGGAATTCACAGTCATTTTCTCTAAATTGTACAAATAAGAAGAAAATTATGGTGACTAAATATTTACAAAAAAATACATTATTTTATTTCTTTCCTGTTTTTAACTTTGACGAATTTAAGTCGATGATGATTCATAAAAGTTGTCTTTATTTGTTTAAAATATATTGTGTGGGCTTTTAGGTTGTAGTTTATTTACGTCGCACTAGAGCTTCACAATGGGCTATTGCCGGCGATCTGGGAAACATCCCTGAGCTGAGGATGTTCCGAAGACATACCATCACAATTTTGATCCTCTGCAAAGGAGATGTGTGGGCTTTTAACGATTTCTAATTACTGAAGGGGACATAATACTCATCGTTTCCCGGCCAACAATGCCCATGGTAACCGTACAATATGACTTCCCAAGTTAAGGTTACAATCTAGGAAGCAGACTACAGCATCTATTTTCTTTCTTTTTTGCCTTTTATAATTTACTAGAAATAATGTTATCAGCAAACAATTCTTCTTACGGCAAGGATCCCATATCAATGCCGTTAGAAATAACAATCTCAAGTTTCAGCTATCAAACTGGTTTTTATATTATTTGTCCTTTTTCCTCCTGCAATAAAAATTTGTCAAGGTATGTTGTTGTTGTTAATTTACGTCGCACTAGAGCTGCGCAATGGGCTATTGGCGACGGTCTGGGAAATATCCCGGAGGATGATCCGAAGACATGCCATCACAATTTTGATCCTCTGCGGAGGGGACGTCAAGGTATGATATCGTTTTATGAAGGAAAAAAAGTGCTATTATGAAAATACTAGCTTACTTATTTAAAAACAAGCTGATTACACATTCTTCCAAAGGGATGAAAAATATTGCAAATGCGTATCATTATTTTTCTGCTTATTAACTCCATCAAACAAGTTGAATTTTTTCGATCGATGGCGTAGTAATAGCATCAGAGTATGAACCTAAGAATGATTGAATGATTTCCTCATCTCTTTGCTTAGATATATAACTTTAAATTTATAACTTTTTTTCTACAGTAAAATAATCATTATAAATTGTGCATTCTGACGTGGGCGACGCTGCTCCTCCACCGTGGCTTCGCCACAGCTACCCACTGGGTAACGAGAAGAGAGTAGCAGATCTGGGATTTTTTTCTGTACCATTAATTCCAAGAAGTAAAAAGCAACGCAAGATAATATCAGAAACTATATATTCTAATATTATATAGCATAAAAACTAATGCAAAATAATTTTATGGCGAACGCTAGATAATATTAGTTTGCATAGAATCTAATATTATATCAGGCAGAGCAAACAGCGACCTCTTGTATCTTTCTAATATTAGAAGTTGTGCAAGATAACGTTAGGTTTTACTAGTTTTCTGACATTATCTAATATCAGTTGCTACTTGGGGTGACCACTTTGATCAGCCTCGTAGGGATCGAGATTGTGCGTTATCAGTCTTCGTTAAACAAATCTGTCGTATACTGTTCGATTTCACGTACAGATCTTCAGACAACCGAAGCGGGGAAGCCACCTCCTCTGCAAAGGATAAAAATTACGATATCAAATTATGATGACATGTCTTCGAATCATTTTCAAGGATGTTTCCCTGACTATCGCCAATAGCCCACTGCTCAGTTCTAGTACGATGTATATTAAGTACTAATGCTACTACTTATCGAATCAAAATATTGTTCATTGTAGATAAAACACATAAGATTCCAAATTGAAAAAAATCGATTCACTTCCATAAGTTACATGGACTTATTAATGATCTTTCGCATTGCATGCGTCGAGTTTTAATTTTCTAAATCATAGATAGGATCAATCAGATTTTTTGAGCTAGATCAAAGTTTTTTTATTAAAAAAAAATTTCAACTGCAGGAGCCGAAAGCGGTTGCCGTCTAGGAAATATGAGATCCTGATTGGAGAAATATATTTTCTCGCGAAAATTCACCAATCAAGTTCCCCTGTTTTCTCGACGGTGATCGGAGATGTGGTAATTGCATTTTGTGAGAATGCTCCGTAAATTCGAGCATGAGCATCTAATTTTGCCGCAAAAGCACTGAATTGCTCCAGTAAAAAACTTCCTCTCATGTGCTTTAATGCGAGCCGATATTATTTTTTTCTGATCGTTATAAAAACTGTAACTGTAGTTACATACTTTCAATGTTGATCGTCTGCTATTTTTTTGAAAAGTGTAAAACGTAAGTTCTGCAGATAAATCAAATTTCTTTAAGGTAAACAGAAAGTTTGAAGTATTTATAGTGGTCTTAATATTTTATTTAGATAAAAAAAGGCATTAATGTCTTATTTTCTTAGATGATTCATTTTCATGGACATCTTTTTTCGTTTTTAGGATAAGATCACAACTAAAACAGCTACTATTTCTTAGAAGCTGCACCTGTAATTTTAAATTATATAGCATGAAAACTAAAATTAAATGTGTATTTGCTTCTTTTAATGCGTGTTTTCTTTATCTAATTAGATCATTCAACATGGAAAAACTCCTGAAGAAGCTTATCGACCTCTCATTTTTGGAGGAAGCCCACCTTTTTTATCCTTCAGGTAAAAATAAATATAAACAAATAATAAATATTTCATTAAGTGTATAAATATTTTCTTGCTAAATTCATATTCATAAGAAATATTTTGAATCAAGTTTCGTTGAATATTGGTATATTTTTAAACAGCACATCCAGTTTAATTTTTTAACTGGTTCATCTGCCTGAAAATGTATGTATAACAATTGAAAGTAGGCGTTGAATATTGAATATTTTCTCTTATAGGTAAAGAATTACTCTAAATGCTTCCTTGATTCTAATGTTTTAATTAAGAAAAGTTAAAATTTGAGTTTATTTATACATATTTTTTTAATAATGATTCTTTTTTTTTTCTCTCTCTTAAATTAGAGCATTTGTAAATTAGGTAATAGTTTCATTTGATGTTTATTCACACCAACTGATATCACAGAGACTCAAAATGAAATTGTCCTATTGTTTAACTTGAAATAAATGAAAGAAAAATATATATAGCATGCCCAGGTGTGGATACGAGATGCCCTATCTGTAATATTTTTTTTACCCCCATTGGTTCTTGCATACCATTATTTAGGACTTTAGGAGTAAGCAAAACTTAGTGTTTGAAACCTTTTCCTAAATTATTCCTGTGTATGCATTAACATGAAGAAGAAACTATCTTTTATCATTTATTTTATATTAAGATTTTAACATTTGCAGTGAGTTGAAACTGAGTTTAGTTTTTGTTATTAATAATTATTTGCAATAAGCATCTGTTGGTTAGTTTTCATTGATCAAAAAGAAAGTATTGTATTGAATTTTTGCAGGTAGATTTTTAATGTTTATTTTTTAATTTTCTTTTCATCAGCAATCAAAAAGCTAGAGTAAAATATTTTATAGTTAATTTTTTTTTCATTTACTTTATAATAATTCTTATACTCTCCTGAAAACTATAACAGTAATGTCAGTATGTTATCTATGAAAATTTCTTGTGCATACTAATTTTTTTTTCAGGGATGCTTCCATTGGACCAACAACATATCACTTAGGACTTTTAGATTGTTTACGTGCCCTTAAAAAGGTGAATAGTATGTTTTCAATATTTAAAGTAATTGTTCTTCTTACTTTTCAGATTTCTGTTCTATTAGTTAAAGTGCTCAAAATGTTAATTTAAAATTTTTTTTTAACTAAATAAGCTTTTCAGAATATAGTTTTTTTTTCTTTTCTTTTTTTTTGATTGCTTGGAGTTTCACTTATGTAAACATGTCTATAATTTTTATTTTATTATGTTTATGGTTGTATGAAAAAATTTCAAGCATGAAAGATTACTATTGTAATTTTAATTTAAATAGATGTTTTAATTTAAATAGATGTTTTAATTTAAATAGATGTTTTAATTTAAATAGATGTTTTAATTTTATAAATAATTTTGCATATTGGACTATAAATTTAAGTTTCCTTTGTAACATAATTTTAACTGTTATTAGATATTTTCCTTAAAACTCAATATCAACTGATTAAATTTATTAGTATAGTTTAATTAGTGATCAAATAACAGTGACATTTAAAAGAGGATCTAATACATTTTGTGCTATAAGGAATCATTAAAGGAAAATAATATGTTAAAGCACAAATTCTGTATCTTTATTTGTGCTTCATTCATATTGTTATACTTTAAACATTTAACAGAAATTTTTTATTGACAAATAAAATTTTTTTTTTGCAGTTTTGTTGCTAGTTAAACATTATTTAAATTTGAAATTATTTCACTATTCTTCACACTTTGAATTAAATCGTGAGATCTAATTTTGTTTGCCTTAATTTAGTTTTAAATATAAGTTATTTATTTGCTAGTGTTTCATATGCAAAAAAGGAAAAGAAATCAGCTTCTGATATTGTTTAAATAAATTAATTTATTGTTAAATATTTTCAGAATCAACTATTTTTAAATATATGTATCTATATTTAATTATTATTTTTTTTGTTCTGTTATTTTCAGGCTTTAGCTAACAATTTCTTTAACTTTGAAAATTTTGATGTTGAAGAGTATGAATATTATGAGGTAAGTTAACAAAGACAAAATAGGTGAATCATTCAATAACATTAATATAATTATGAAAATTAAAAATTAAGAAAAAATTTGCTTTTAGAATGTATAATTTACAATTTTATCTGTCATTTAGTTACATTGTCATAGTTGATTGAGAACATGAAATTCAATCTATTTAGNATACATACATGTATTGTTATACAGTTAAACCTACATACCCCTTTAGCCCTCTTTCACTGAAAACTATCTGAATCAAGAATGCGAGTTTCAATTTGACAGTCTACAATGGTTGAAAGGAGGAAGGAGTTTATGAATAGATATGTGCTGAAGTTTTACAACAGGGGGATGGGTACTTGTCACTTATGGTTAATGATTAGTGATTACAGTGCTTGGAATCTTAAATCTTGGAATAAAATTCTTAACAAAAGCTTCTGAACCAGTAGATCTTCCCGAAGAAAAGATGCCAGGTAATACAGCAGAAGAAATAGAAGACTGGTGTCGAGACACTGAAAACGACGCAGAACTTCAAATTGTAAATGATGATGAAATTGATGCTGACATTTTGAATGAAAATCGGAACTCCACAGAGGAAGAGAAAGAAGTAGGTGATCAATTTCAAGATAGTGGACCTTTTCATATAGAAGAAAGCAATTCATTAAATATTGCAATGAATTGGCTAAAACATTGGCTAAAATTGGCTAAAACTGGATCAAAATGATGTTGATCCAGTTCAGTTGATTTATTTAAAAAGAATAAGGGATATGGCTGCTCAAAAAAGAGTATCTTCTTTGAAACAAAAGTCTTTGCTAGATTTCTTTTGCAATGGAAAATTAAAAAAAAAATTTTAAAATCAGTAATTGATAAAAAAAATTTATTAAAAGCTGAAGTATGATAAAAATAATTAAAAAAAAAAAGTTTAAAAAAATAAAATAAAAAGTATAAAAAAATAAAATAAAAAGTATTTAAAAATTAAAAAAAAAAACTTGTAAACACACCAGAGCTATATTAGATAGTACTCTGCCAGTCCTGTGAAGTGTGAAGGGAAGTTAGTGCATAAATAATAATAATTTAAACTAGATTTTAAACAACTTTCCAATTATCCGAACTTTTCATTATCCGAACCACGTTCGGTCCCGAGCAGTTCGGATAATCGGCGCTCTACTGTAGTTGAAACTGAGTTTAGTTCTTGTTATTAATTTATTATTTGCAGGAAGCATCTGTTGGTTTTCATTAATCAAAAAGAAAGTATTGTATGGAGTTTTTACAGGTAGAGAGAAGCAAAATATTTAAATTTATTTTTTGCGTTTAGTTTTTAATTTTTTTCCAACTAAGTTAATTTTATTTATCTTCATTTACTTTATAATAATTCTTATACGTTCCTGAAAACTATAACTGTAATCTATGAAAATTTCTTGTGCATACTAATTTTTTTCTTCAGGGATGCTTCCATTGGACCAACAACATATCACTTAGGACTTTTAGATTGTTTACGTGCCCTTAAAAAGGTGAATAGTATGTTTTCAATATTTAAAGTAATTATTCTTTTTAGATTTCAGTTTTCTGTTCTATTAGATAAAGTGCTCAAAATGTTCATTTTAAATCAATTTTTTACTAAATAAGCTTTTCAGAATATAGTTTTTTTTTGTTTGCTTGGAGTTTCACTTATGTAAACATGTCTATAACTTTTATTTTATTATGTTTATGGTTGTATGAAAAAATTTCAAGTATGAAAGATTACTATTGTAATTTTAATTTAAATAGATGTTTTAATTTTATAAATAATTTTGCATATTGGACTATAAATTTATGTTTCCAATTATACAACTTTTTAAGTTTCCTTTGTAACATAATTTTAACTGTTAGTAGATATTTTTCTTAAAACTCAATATCAACTAACTGATTAAATTTATGTGTATAGTTTATTGAGTGATCAAATAAAATTAAAAGTGACATTTAAAAGAGGATCTGATGCATTTTGTGTTATAAGGAATCATTAAAGGAGAATAATATGTTAAAGCACAAATTCTGTATATTTATTTGTGCTTCATTCATATTGTTATACTTTAACCATTTAACAGACATTTTTTATTGACAAATAAATTTTTTTTGCAGTTTTGTTACTAGTTAAACATAATTTAAATTTGAAATTATTTCAATACTCTTCACACTTTGAATTAAATCGTGAGATCTTATTTTGTTTGTCTTAATTTAGTTTTAAATATAAGTTGCTTATTTGCTAGTGTTTCACATGCAAGAAAAAAAAAATCAGCTTCTGATATTGTTTAAATAAATTAATTTATTGTTAAATATTTTCAGAATCAACTATTTTTAAATATATGTATCTATAATTAATTATTTTTTTTTTGTTCTGTTATTTTCAGGCCTTAGCTAACAATTTCTTTAACTTTGAAAATTTTGATGTTGAAGAGTATGAATATTATGAGGTAAGTTAACAAAGGCAAAATAGGTGAATCATTCAATAACATTAATATAATTATGAAAATTAAAAATTAATAAAAAATTTGCTTTTAGAATGTATAATTTACAATTTTATCTGTCATTTAGTTTCATTGTCATAGTTGATTGAGAACATGAGAGACAATCTTACATTTAGAGACAATCTTAACAAGGTGGGTGTCATGTTTGCTCTCATTGGAGAATTTCCTAGAGTGTTCATCAGCAAATTTTTTTGTGGCAAAAATTATAGAATTATTTGAATTATTACAACAACCATTGTACTCACCAAATTTGGTGTCCAACAATCTATTTTGACTTCCAAACTTAAAAAAATAGCTTGGAAAAATGCAATTCATGTCAACTGAGAAGTTCATAGCTCAAACAAATATCTTTTTAATGATCTTCAAAATCATACTTTTTAGGTGGCTGGAAAAATTTGAAGGAAAATATGTGTCAAGCTTAAAGGAGATTCTGTTGGAAAAAAATCTATGCTAAATAATTTTTTAAATCTCTTTATTAAGGACTTATTGATTGACACTCGTATTTAGCATACTCTTATAATTTTGATATTGATTAATGTGATGTTGATTTCTTTATGTTGAATAAAGATTCAAATAAATATATATTCATATTTTAATTTAGCCTGCAAAGATAGTACTTGTTTAAATCTTTTGGACTTACTAGATAAGCATTCTGAAATTAGAGTTTTTAATGATTTATTTTGTGCCAAGTAATAATTTTTGTTTACCTTTGATATATATGGTCAGAACTCAATTTTTTTTACCCCTTTATGTTCTAGAGAGTAGAATCTGGTGATTTAAGCTGGATAGTGCCAAATAAATTCATTGCCTTTTGTGGACCTCATGCTAAAAGTAAAATAGAAAATGGTAATGCTTACTTTTCTGACTTTAATATTATTCAATATTGAAATTTCTTTTGTGTATTCTGAAATATTTATGCACCATTTTTTAAAATTTATAAATTATCATACTTTTATTGTCAGTTCTGTTCTTTTAAGTTATTGTATTGCAAGCTAAACTAATGATAAACATTGGGTCTAATGATAAACATTAGACCCACAGTTACGGAAAATAATTAAGGGAAAGAAGTGAATCATTAGAAATCCAGTCAAAGAAAGGAAATTTTATTATTCTTTAATTTTTGTATTTTTTTATGTCAGCAATAAATTAAAAAAAAAAAATATATTTTTCAATTTATTTTCCAAATTGTCTAATAACTAATGCATCTAATACTTGTTAAAATGTATTTTTTATAAATGATGAACTTGGGGAATTTTTATTTATTGCACTATTTCATGTCTTTTCAAAAATCAGAATTAAATCTATTAATTTTGATTAATTTTTTGAATATTTAAAGAAAAATAAAGTAATCTCTATAATTTTTTTAAAAATCTCATGCAAATACTAATGTGGATTAATTTTTTTAAAGCCAGAGTATGCATCAAATGTATTTTTAAAAACTTTTTCTTCTTTCATTAGTATTGTTAAAATAATAAAGTTACAATGCAGCTTTTGCTAAACTAACCTTTTTAAATGAGCATATTACTTTTCATCCACTTTTCTATACAAAGTTTTTGTTTATTTATTTGACAATTGAAGTTGTACGTTCTTGTTTTCAGGTTACCCATTTCATTCTCCTGAATCTTACATACCCTATTTTCGGAAGCACAATGTTTCAACAATTGTCAGGCTCAATAAAAAAATATATGATGCTAAAAGATTTGTAGACAATGGTTTTGACCATAGAGACTTATTTTTTATTGATGGTAGTACACCAAGTGATGCTATCATGAGAGAATTTTTAGATTTAGCAGAAAAAGCTAAAGGTGCTATAGCTGTGCATTGCAAGGGTAAGTTGTATGTAACATAGCTACCAACTGTTCAGAATTTTTCGGATTTGTTCCTAATTTTTAAATCAAATCTGAAAATCTTATATTTTTATAAAAAATCTGAATTTTCACAAAATTGCAGTATTTTTGCTTTTAAACCAATCCCTTGTTCTGATCGTCGCAAGCCCGCTTCCTGTGATAATTGTGCAGAATAAATTTTTAGTAGCTTTTTATGAGAAAATACTATTCTAAAAGCTATTGCTGATAATTTCACTAAATTGAATCTTAAACAACTATTATTATTTTTAAAAAATAGTATTGTAGTATTTAAACACTTGCATCAGAAATATTTGTTTCGGAAACTAATAACTTAAACTATTTGTGTGCTTAAACTTGCTTTATATTCAAACCTAAAGAAGAGTTTTTCATTTATTTAATAAAAAAAAATGCAAGATGATAATAAAATGATAAGGGATGTTTAAATCTTGATTTTATTAAAATGACTGTATCAAGTAAAATTGCTGTAATTAGTAAAATTACTGTTTTTAGTAAAGTTACTGTATTTGATAAAATTACTATTTCCAGTAAAGTTATTGTACCCAGTAAAATTACTGTACTTAGTAAAATTATTGTAATTGTAGTAAAATTACTGTTTTTAGTAAAGTTTAGTATTTGATAAAATTACTATTTCCAGTTCTGTTATTTATTTACTGTGCCCAGTAAAATTACGATATTTAGTAAAGTTACTATGTTTAATAAAATTACTGTATGCTTAGTTTATACATTACATTTTCTCAGATCAAGATACACATTTCTTTAATTAAAAAAACAAATTCTTTAATTAAAATTCTTTTTTTAAAAAAAGGAAGGAAAAACAAATAAAGCACCAAATATCAGAAGCTTTTTTTTTAAATTTTTTATTTATTATTATTATTCTTTTTTAAAAAAGGAAAAATTGCTTATGATCTTCAAATAAAATTAATTAGAAATCAGGAAATTGGAAATCATTTATAAAATGTTACTACACTTGTTGTATAATTCAGTTTCTTTTACATTCTTTTGCTGCCGTCTATTTAACTTTTTAAAGTTTGTTTATTTTTTAAACAATATTGCATTTCTTTATATGTTTTAATAATTTTGTAGCTCTATGATTCCAAAAAATAAATTTTTTTTATTATTATCATGTTCTTGTTTATAATTTTCAATAAAAGCAGATGATTGTTTTATTACATTATATGTGTAAAACTTTTATTTGCGTAAAGATGATACAAACTTCTAAAATGTAGCATAAATAGCATCTAAATACATTTAATTCAATGTAAATTGTAAATGGAAGTATACTATTTTATTTTTATAGTAACTCAAAATTTAACAAGCTGTATAAACACTTTAAATAAGTTTTTAATGTTTTACTTTAAGCTAAATATCAATGTAAAGTTTTATCTTTTAATGAGCCTGTTGTTCAAACTTATGATTAATAACTAATTAATTAATAACTAAATTAAGCTGTCAAGTAAACCTAGGATAAGTTAAATGAAGGCATAGTTCCAAATTATTACAAACATGAATTTTTTACTTAAATTCTGCCTCTCTTCTTTTCTTTTATTTAATGAAATATTTATGTTAGAAGTATTTATGTTATGTTGTTCTGTTATTTAATGAAGAAATATGAATGTTGCATTTAAGAACTTTCTAATTAAACCTAATGGAGATTGGGTATACTTCGTTCAAAACAAGGCGACGAGCCACAAAAAAGGGCTATTTCATTTTAGTGCCTTTATTTCTTCTTTATTCACATTATTTTGCTTTATTTGCTAATAATGAATAATTTTGAATAATTATTTCTTTTGAAATGCATTATTGAAAACAGTTTACCCAGATTTCAGAAAAAAGTATTTGAAAATTTAAAAAAAACGAAAAATAAATAAATAAATAAATAAATAAAATGTGAAAAAAAATATTTTTAAGTTTATTTAGTAAAAATTGAATTTTTTTCTTAACAAATATTTTAACTAATAAGTTTGAGCATGAATAGATTTGAGTTTTTCTTTGTTTTAATTTACTCTTTTTCTTTAAAATTCATTTTCAAATTTTTTATTTTTTTTTAACATTATGAATACTTTTTACTATTTGTTTAAATATTTGTTTTCAGACATGCGTGTTTTGAATTTTTTAATTAATTAAGTATTTTTCTTGTTTTAAAAGCTGGTCTCGGTCGTACAGGGACTCTAATTGCTTGCTACATTATGAAACACTACAGGTTTACTGCAGCTGAAGCCATTGCTTGGATTCGAATTTGCAGACCTGGTTCCATCATAGGACATCAGCAACTGTGGCTGGAAGAGTAATTATGATTTTTAATTATTCTAATTATAAGGTTTGAATTAAGGTTGTTTAAATTATAATTGTTTTTATGTTTTAAATAATTGCTGATAGTTTGGCAATAAAATTGAAGTTGATGTTTAGAGTTTTCAAATTATCCTGTTTAAATGATTGGATGCTCATTTAATAGTTTTAATTCATTATTTTTAATTAAAAAATTATTTTTATAATGTAAACTTTATTGTTCAACTCATTGCTAATTAATTTATAACCAACTTTGAATTACATTTTGATTTCCATTTTTTGATATGCTGCATAATATGCAAAGATATGCACAGTTTCCTTTTCATGTTATGCAAAGGCTGTTACATGCTGGTATATTCCATTAGGCTTTGAAATTTATTGAGAAAATAATTGTCTTTTCCTTTTTGTAGTGTACATTGGCCTACAATATCATAAGTCTATCACGAGATCCCCTTTTTTACCTTAAGTTCCCTTCTGCTTTAATACTTTGTAAATTATATATTATTAGGCAGTATTAAAACAGTGATATTAATTTATGAGAGGGCAATGCGTCGAACAATAAACAAGCTATATTGTTATTATTTATATAATTTTTTATAATTAATTCCCTTATTTTTTTTATCAAAGTTATTTTTGTTCTAAACAACAAAAAGTTTAAAAAAAACAACTTATTTTTTTAAAGATTCTATTGGCCTTCAATATGTTATAAACAAAACTTTTCACTACTTTTGTCTCGGAAAATTTGAATTCTTTGATTGTAGAAATTGTAAAATCATGAATATGCAGCAGATTTTCATCATAATTTGCTTTTAATATCCATGATTTTACTTCTTCATTGTACTATAAAAGTGTAAGTGGTTCAGTTAATTTTGGAATTATTCATTTATTACTTTATTATCAGATTAGTTTTTATATTGATAGATTTTTTTAAAAAAGATGTCTTAATTTTTTATGTCAGAAACTAAATATTTTTTAAAATAGTATTAGCAACTTTTTAAATTTCTTAATTTTCTCATTTCTGCTGTAACTATGCAGGTGCATTAACTACATGATGATAACTACTTGCAGATTAGTGTGTAACAAGCATGCTTAACACAAACAAAGAAAGAACACCATAAAACAAATCAAAAGACAAAAAACATGTTAAAAACTTCATTGAAGTCAAGCTGTAGATCCTGTGCTAAAAGCTCGTCGTATAAACTGCCAATTTCTATCATATAAATTTCCAGACAATGTATTGCAAATTTAAACCAAGAAACTACTCACATTGCTTCTCTTTTCTTTCTTTTCATATTAAAAGCACAAATCAATAAACAAAGTGAGAAGCGTCTAAACATTGAACTTATGTATACAATATGTCAAAAAAAAGAAATAAATAATGAACTACCCAACATAACTTTTGATCTAATGATCAGATCTTCATGTTCTGGTGCTCTATCTTAATAATTCAAGAGGACAACCTTGATTATGCTGATTAATAACAGCAGAGAATATTTTAAGTTACGAAATCGGATACAAAGCATACTTTCTCTGAATAAACTCACCTTTTTTCGGCTGATTCGGATTTCTGACCCCCAAAATATAGGTGGTAGCTGCAATTCAGGAAATATGGTCCCCATAGTTTTGTCAGGAGAGTGATCCAAATTTTACTTTTTGCGTATTTGACGTACATATTGAGAATTTTTGAAACGAAATAAAAGTTTTGTACACAATTATATTTTTTTGTTTTTCAGAAGATAATTCCATGCAAGCAAATAAACTTTACTAAATATTTATACTTTTAATTATATTATTTAATAATAATCGGAAAAATTTTGAACTTTAAGGGGTAGCATTTTACATCATTTTAAAGTATCAAATTTTACATGGCAAAATACAAAATTTGTGCAAAATTGTTTGAATAGTTCCTGAGAAATAGAATTTTAAATCTATGACTTTTCTAAGAATCGATTTGAGATTACCCTCCCCCTCAAACCAGTAGATTGAGCCTCAGAATGTGAAGATCTGATCATTAGATAAAAAGTTATTCAGGGCACTCTGTTTTTTTTTAAGCGCTGTATGTGTTCTTTAGCTATTGGTTTTGGTTTTAACTTAATTTTCTTATGCATTCTGCATTCTGTGATTTGATCTTCTAAATTTTCTTGGATATTATTAAAAATTAATCAAATTATTCTACTACAATAAAACTAATGGATGAAAAAAGCATTTATTAGAATAATTTTAATTACATTTCTTAAAACTTTTTCAATGTTACAGGAAGCAATCATATCTTTGGCTTCAGGGTGACTTGCATAAACTCAGGAATTCTCAAAATAACACCAAAAAGAAGCTGATTGATAGCAAATCAAAAGAGTTGAAGTCTCCTGGTAGATCTAGTCTTGCAATACCTCGTGAAAGACTGCAACCAAATGCTTTGAGGTCCTCTGGTCAAAACTGTCTAACTCTCAGAAACAGCCTGGACAATGGTGCTGAGGCTGATGATCTTGAGGTAATAAAATTTGTTTGATTTAAAACAATGTACAAAGTGGTTTTTATGTTAGATGAGATGCTAAAAATTAATCTGTTTTTCTTCTTCTTTTTCCGATGATTTTTTCACAATTAATTCTAAATTTGAATTCTGATTCACGCACACATTAATTACAGTATCATTTTTGAACTATCTGTGTAGGTTTAAAACAATGGCTTAACTGAATTACTTTGGAGTTAATGTTTGGATATTAATTTTTTAGTTTTAAGTGTTTATAATTTAGATGTGAACTAGAATTTTCTTTTCTATATTGAAAAGAGTGGTCAGTGTGCGTGTGGGTGACCTCTTGGATCAGTCTGCGTAGGGACCGAGGGTGTGTGGTATTGACTCATTAAACTGTTCTACCGTAAAGTGCTCGATTTCGTGTGTAGGTCGTCAGGCTACCGAAGCGGGGATGCCATCCCCTCTGCAGAAAATCAAAATTGTGATGACATGTCTTCGAATCATCCTCAGGGATGTTTCCCAGACCGTCGCCAATAGCCCATTGTGCAGCTCTAGTGAGACGTAAATGAACTACAACAACAATAGCTATATTGAAAAGGTGTGTTTAGTTGATATCATAGCACAGTTCCTAAGAAATAATTTGAACCATTCAACCCTTTATTTTATTGCTAGAGGCTCATTCCTTCCTTTAATAGCTCTTAATCTGGTCTATTAAGCATGCCAATTTGGAAATGAGGTCGATTTCAGTTAGGTCTTGAGGTAGTGATTGTAGTGAGGTAGTGGTCGTGATACAGTTAGGGTGATTTAGTTGTGAGGCCTATCTCATGATTGACAAACAGTATATATTCTATATTTCATCAGATTATAATTATTGCCATGTTTTAAAAATTAAACTATAAAAACACATAAAATTTTGATATTATAATGACTTTATAGTTTTTATACTAAGATACGTATTGTGTAAGCAAAATAAAATATTATATTAATAATTAATATAATTGTATTATTTTGTGTTAGTTAGATGCTTGAGAATAACATTTTCAAAAAGAGGTTATTATATTTATTGAAGTCTATTTAATTGTAAACAGTTCAACACGTAGACATCCCCCCACCATCTCTAGATGAGGTTGTCCTAGCTATTAAAAAACTCAACAACAATAGGTTGGCTTGTCCCGACTGTATACCATCTGAGCTACTAAAAACTGAAGAACCAGAGCTTCTTAATGCCATCTATAATATCATGGTTAACGTTTGGGATACGGAGAAATTGTCCATTGGATGAGAAGAAGGCTCCATTTGCCCCATATTTAAGAAAGGAGACCAACTCAAATGTCGTAACTATAGGGGCATTACATTCCTCAATATGGCATATAAAATATTTTCCAACTTGCTTTTTACAAGACTTCTCCCTTTTACCTACAAAATAACAGGAGACTACCAATGTGGTTTTCGATTGCAAAGATCTATAATAGATCAAATTCACACCCTGAAACAAATTTTAGAAAAAACTAAGGAATGTAATTTCAAAACTTTTCATTTATTTATAGACTTTAAAGCTGCCTACGACAGCATAAAGAGAGATAAACTACTGAAAGCAATGGCCGAATTTGGGATCCCTGCTAAACTCATTAACTTAACCAGAGCTTCACTAAGTAATATAAGATGCTGGGTTAAAATTCAAGATCAATTATCGGAACCATTTTCAACAGAGAGAGGCCTGCGTCAGGGGGATTCCCTCGCCTGTCTACTCTTTAAATTAGCTCTGGAGAAATGTATCAGAGATAGTGGATTAAACCGAAAAGGCACCCTTTGGAATAGATCAGTTACTGGCATATGCCGATGACATTGAAGTCATAGGAAAGTCAGAGAGAGCAGTGAGAGAGGCCTTTCTGGCACTTGAAACTTCTGCTGCAAATATGGGCCTTACCATCAACGGAGATAAAACTAAATTTATGGAATCTCCAGCCACAACTGTAAATCATGATCATTTATTCATAAATGGTTACACCTTTGAAAAGGTTAATGAATTCAAATACCTTGGAACAATGATCAATGACCAAAACAGCATAAAAACAGAAGTAGACAACTGAATTAAAATGGAAATCAAGTGTTTCTTTGGACTAAGAAAGCAATAAGAGATCAAGCCTAATCAGTCGAAAAACCAAAATTTAAATTTATAAGACTCTTATTCTACCTGTATTGCTCTATGCAAGTGAAACATGGACACTAAACGCAGATACTCAGCATACTCTTGGTATTTTTTAAAGGAAAATCCTTAGAAGTATTTTTGGCTCAGTACAGGAAAGAGGCTGTTGGCGAATCAGATACANAAGGTTTAAAAAGAAAGCAGTTAGTTTAATTAATGAGAATATTGCATCAAGTGTTCTATAATTAATATTTATTATAGTTAATATTTTTAATGAGAATAATCTTTTATGACGCAAACAGTTTTATAGACGCTTCAAAACCAGCTGTTTTTACAGTTTCACTTTTAATCTGCATTATTGTTGTAATTTGCATTCCATATGTCGTAATTTTGTTAAAAATTATTTTGAAAATGAGAAATTTTTATCGTCAATTGCCGTAAATCAATTTATTGGTATATAAAATATTTTTATGCATTTATAAAATCATTTATTCATCCAATTATTCACTAAATTGTCCTTCAATGATTCACCTGCAAACAAATTCACTACTACTTATTGTTGACTCATAGTAATTCACTGATTGGTATCCTTTCATTCCTTCCTCATTTTTACTTCATTCACTCGCTGTTCCTAAAATTGTCCATGATGACAGTTTTCATGATGAAGTGACAAGAGTACTCGTAATAAACTGTTTGTGAAATATACTATCCTAAAATAACCATTAATAAAATTAAGAATAACTTTGAATAAAAAAATTATTGAAAGAACAGACAGTCGTCATAGTAACAATAAAATATTAAATGATCATTTCTATCAAGAAAGTTTTGAAAAAGATTAGATATTCTGTACTCTTACTAATATTGGTATATAAAACAATGTATAAGAATAAATAAATAAAACCCTATGTTAAATGATAGTTACAAAAATAATAAGCATTTAGATAAATCAGATGAATAATCCAGTTCACAATTAGAAAATATTTTTAGAGAAAAAAGTATTATTTCAGTTTCTCAAGAAAATCTTAAGAATTATTTTAAATATATATGAAAGAACAAAATATAAATTTAAGTGTATATATGTTTCTAGTTATTTTAAAATTAACTAAAATTTTGGTAATTATATAATTATCTTGGAAGTTCACCTTTTAGACTTTCTAAGTATTCCCAATTTCTCAAAAAAACTGCCAAGATTTGGATGAAAAACTTAAACTTTACATTTTCAGATGAAATAGAAGTATGTTCTACATAAAATATTAAGATTTGTATCATCAAACTCACATTATACTAAGAGTACGTTTGACACACAGGCTCATGGTCATTATCCAAGGTCACTCCTGTTTTTCTTTTGCATTCACCTTTTGAAAATATTGGCTTGTTTGTGGGATGGTTTCTTGAACCGTAAATCTCCACAGAAAAGAGCATCCCTAGAAAATACGGAACTCATTCTATTCAATGTCGATCTAGTTCTCCTGCCCACTTTTATTTCCATCTTTAGTAAAACGTTTACTTAGAGAACTTTAACTATGAAAAAAAGTAGCCTAAGAATATATAATTAATAAAAAATAACCTATAAATATATGTTTAAAGCAAATAATACATTAAAAAAGGAAGAAATAAATAATTTACAGAATATTAAATCTGGGTCTTGATTGACACCTATCTTACCTGGTGTTCCGGTCGATAGTCTGCCGTTTTCGCAGGCTCTGTATATCTTATTATCTTGTTTAGATAAAATTTTATAAGTGTGACTTGAAATCAGTACTTATAATTTTTATGTTAGAAATATGTAGAATTATATGCTGCTACTAATTGCTGAAGAATAATATGCTATCTAAAGTACTTAAACCTTTTTTTTATTACTTTAATTTAGGCAAACGTTTTACTATTTTTATTAAACATTTAGATTATTTTTAATATTAAAAGTAGATCAAAAAAGGGGCTGAGCTACATGTCAATATTTCCTTAAGTACCTANTAGAAAAGACAACATTTTCTAATACTATAAAAGATATGTATCATTTGTATTCAGTGCCGACAGAAGGCGTCACACCCCTGGCGAAACTGAAAAGGGTGCCCTTAACTTAATTTTGGGTAGAGAATCTTAAAAAAATCCTTGAATCGTCTTGTTGGTATAGTCATAACGATGTAGATAAAAAAAAAATTTTTAAACTTTAAATTACAATATTTCTTTCAGAGAATTATAAAATCAATGTCAATCCTAAATGTTGATTTGGAAAACAAGTGAAAAAGATAAATTGCAATTAATACATTCAAGGTTTAAAAAGAAAGTCGTTAGTTTAATTAATGAGAATATTGCATCAAGTGTTCTATAATTAATATTTATTATAGGCAATATTTTTAATGAGAATAATCTTTTATGATCCAAACAGTTTAATAGACTCTTCAAAACCAATTGTTTTTACAGTTTCACTTTTGATCTGCATTATTGTTGTAATTTGCATTTTGTTAAAAATTATTTTGAAAATGAGAAATTTTTATCATCAATTGCCGTAAATCAATTTATTGGTATATAAATATTTTTATGCATTTATAAAATCATTTATTCATCCGACTATTTACTGAATTGTCCTTCAATGATTCACCTATAAACTAATTTACTGCTACTTATTGTTGACTCGTATTAATTCACTGATTCATTGATTGGTATCCTTTCATTCCTCATTTTTACATGATTTACTCGCTGTTCCTAAAATTGTTCATGATGATAGTTTTCATGATGAAGTAACAAACTTACTCGTAATAAACTGTTTGTAAAAAATACTATACTAAAAATAATCATTTAAAATAATTTAAAACTGACTTTGTATAAACAAATTGGTATTAAAAGAACTGACAGTTATCATAGTAGCAATAAAATACTAAATGATCATATTAAATGATCAAATATTGCGAGATATTTAGAAATATCATTATAATTAAACTTTGATCTGCACTGATTGGAATTCTTTTCTATCAGAGTTTTTGCAGCCTATTTCTTTTTGGAAATATGAGTGTAGAGTGTTTCTGTACTTAATATTTGGGGAAATTCATAGGATAAATATTTTTTTAACTTCTTGACTAAATTAAATTAATTAATATTGACTGATTATATTTCTTAATTTTTAAAATTATAGTAAATACTGTTAATTTTTTATGTGATCATTTTGGAAATTATAATAATTTTTTCAATACTTTAGTTTAGAAGAATTATTAATTTTTTCATTACTTTAGTTTAGAAGAATTATGTGCATTACGCAGAACAACTTCTCAACCTTTAAGACCTTTACCACCAGGCGGAGCTGTTGAAGCATCTACATATATATCCCCGACAAAGCAAATCAGAGAACGTACGAAACCTTTGAAGCCAATTAGTCCTCTGAATTCTCCTCTTCAAAATCGTAAAATCAATTCGAAACAAAGTATACCTGTTGCAGCAAGTAAAAGGTAAAATGCTCATGTCATTATTTTTTATTTGGTTTATGATTCTTTATATGTGGTTTATCTATATAACTGTGAGAATATGATGCAAACATGATTTGATTTTAATATTTGTTCATATTCATTTTAAAGTTTTTAAATATAGAATTTTTCAAAAGTATGAAGCAACTTTAATGTAAAAGTTTTCTTGCTGAATTACTACCTAAGTGATGGAAATGAATTATTTATAACTACATTAAAAATTGATTGTGAATTTGTATTTTAGTAGTCATGAAAAATATATAGCTTAAAATTAAATATTAGTCAGTAACAAGGTAATTTTTTTGGTATGAAATATAAAGTGAAATTGAAAAGTAGCAAACCTCAGGGCTTTTGCTAATTTAATTTATCTAATAGTGTTCATTATTGTGAAATAATAACATAAGTTATAATAACATAAGAATAATAACATAAGTTATAAATTTATTTTAATTTTATCATTTATTTATTTTCTAATTTTTATAAGGTATTTTTATTGATAGAACTGCACTTGAAAAAGTCTTGATCAAACTCAATATTATAGATTGATTTGTAATGTAGTAAAATAATGTAAAAACAAAGAAATAAAATCAGCACTTTGAAAGTCACTTTGAATCAAACACAATTTTCATATCAGTCAGGTATCAAATGAATAGTGTTCTTTTGTTTTTTGCAGTTTTGTACATCAAAATGAGTATTAGATGAATTTCTTTGTTTATAATATTATTATTTAGGTTTTATCTATTATGTATATGTTTTGCATATTTGTTTACTGAGTCCTAGTATTAATTTTATATGAGTACTATTAATCTAATTTTGACATTCGTTTCAGCAGAATTTGCTCTTACATGACTTGAAATGTATTTTTTACAAAAAGAGGAATATTTAGCTCAGCTTTGTGCAAACATTAAAAGTTTTATCTCAAGAAATTTACCTTTATGATTAAAGAGTAGAAAACTCTAGGGAAGGCCAAATGGCTTTCCACAGGTTGAGCAAAAAGTTTTGCATGATAATGTATTTATTCTTAAAGTGAGATATTTATTTTGGGTTACAAATCAATACAGTAGAACTCATAAAAGATATATTTTTTTAATACTGTCGAACTCATTTATAACTAGTAAGATTCACAATTAACAAGGTCCTGTATTTAACAAAGAAAATGGAAACTTTTGTTTGGTGCAATGTTATTCATGTGTTAGATTGTACTGCTTCAGAAAGAAATTTTTTCACATTTTCTCAGATTAAACATAGGAAATAAGTTTTAAAGTATGTAATAATATAAAAATAATTAAAAAAATACAGCAGTGAACCAATAATTTAAAAAAAAAGTTTTTAGTTGTTTTCATCCAGAATAATTGCAAAACTGATTTCTTCATCTTTTTCATGAGTAAAAATACTTTCACATAAGTAATATCAGCACAGGAAAAAGAAATTAAAAATTGTGACTCATTAAGAAAAACTGTACTTAAATCATTGACATGAACCATTGTTTAAAGTCATTACAAAATCTTGGACAATTTCTTAAAGTTGTTGAGGAAATGAATCATTTGATGCATTAAGATTTTTAAGTGAAAAATTAATCGTTATTAATATTAAATGATCTGGCTAAAGTGATTGTTGAAAAGACTGTTAGAATTTAATATAACCCTGTAACCAAAGCATTTTTGTGATAAAAGAATAAAGCAGTTTAAGGAGAGTATCGTTAAAAATAGATTTTGATATGTACTTTATATATAATTGATATGATTTTGATATTTACACTGAATTAATTATTCATACGCTTGTAATTGAATAAAAAGTTAGTCGTTACATTGATTGTTAAGAAAAGAATGAAAGTATTTTATATTCACTTTTTATTAAATGGGATAAAAATTGAATAATTGATTTAGTTTAGTTATAAAAGGAGTAAGAATAATTAAAAAAAATTAAATTTATAAAATTAAAGAAATTTAAAACCTAGAAAATATGTAATACCTGTTATGGCATGGCATGTCTAACTATCTAATTGTTGCTTAATAACCAAAAACTTAATACTTCTAAAATTGAAACACTGTAAATGCAATACACTTGGATTCTACAAACAGGCATTTATCTATCCAACTATAATTATCAGCTGGTATTTCTAATAAAGAACAAACTTTTTCATAAGCCATGACATTTATGCTTCTTCATTTCAAAACAGACACCGAGCATGCTGTGTTCTTGAACCAATCCATCGACCTCCTGTCCAGCGCAAGAAACGGCATGCCCCTTCCAAGCCTGTGGTACTTTGGGATCCCAGTAGCAGCTATATCTCTAGCCTAAAGCCTCCACTTTATCACCTCAGGCCCTTAATCTTTCCTTCAGATATCCGTCGGACTGTCAAGTACAGTTCGACCCTAGACCCTCTATACTACCCATCTTTTATATCTCGTTACCCACCTTCCATTCTGTAAGTAGGATGCTACTAACATGCTTTTAGCTTACACCTCACCTGCACGTGCTGCCTGCCACTTTTTCTCTGTTGCTATTATAATCCATTAAAGTAATTATACATAATCACTATTTATCTTAGGTTGTATTCTCTTAAGTAGGACACTATTAAGTTACTCACCTGTAAGTGGTATAAAATGCTGTATCTTTTTAATACTTCTGCATGTGCTTCTTACTTCTTTATCTGTAGCAATGTAATGGAGTGAGGAAAATAAAATGAAAGTTTTGCAATAGTGCCTAAATAAGAAATCACTGCGCATTTTTGAAGTATAGTTTTAATTATTATATATATGTGTTATAGTTTCATTAAGATAATATGATAAATATGAATAAATAAATATGCAATGAATATGAATATAATTTTGCTTTTTTACTGTAATAAAATTAGTTTTTAATTCTTTTTGAAATGTGACTTCAAAGGACAACAATATTGTAGTCATTAAAATTATAAACTTATATCTAGAAATTAATTGACATCTAGGCTAAATGTGTGAAAAACGTTTTAATCTGTGTGAAATTTCAAAACTATATTTCTTAAGTGTTCTTTCTTTTTATTATACTTTTATGGTTTTTTACTCAACTATTTATAGTTCACATAGAAAATTCTTTATCAAAGCAAACTAAATTAGTTTCTTTCTTATTACAGGAAGCAATTGTGTATTAAATAGAAAGATTAGTAAGAGTTAACCTTTTGTTTGAAGCAGGAAGCAATTATGTATTAAATAGAAAGATTAGTAAGAGTTAACCTTTTGTTTAAAGCAATCAAAAATTAGAATAACACTGCCAATTTAAAGTTAATTACTTAAATCTGTGAAAAAAATTTTTATGTTGAAATGTTTTATATTTATTATGTAATATAAAAGAAAACTCAGCTATAAAGAAATAAAAGATTATCAGCAACGGTTAATTCATTTTCATTTTAATCATTATAGTCTTCTAAGAGAAATGAAGCTATATGTATTGGATAATTTTTTTAAGTTTAATATTTTTTTGAATGAAATATTTCAGACTAAGGAGCTTATAAATGCTTGAAAAGCATATGTTTTAATGAATTGATTTAATTCTTAATGTATATTCTTCAATTTATGTGTTATTTAAAAAAATAATAAACTGTTGATAATTGTTTTTATGCGTAATAATGCTGCATGCATTATAAGCTTTTGTATTCATTTTGCCATTAAAGTACCGAAATTTGTTTTGCTTTAGTTATACACAAAGCACCTATTTGTTTTCGGTTTTAGCTTTCACCTTTTTGTGTATTTTAAATTTTCAAAAATTTGTTGTTTGTGGAATTGATAACAATATGATCAATGTTTTTGTGAATTTAATATCTATGTTTAATATTTAATTCAGTATTATAATTAACCATAGTGATGTATTTTTTTTTTGAAAAAAAAAATTACTTATTTGTTTTCAGTTTTATTTAAATTTTTTTGGTAATAGGAATTTTATTAACTGTATTTTCGAGTTGAAATGTTTATTTTTTGTCATGTGAAATTATAGATCAATTTATTTGTAAATAATTAAGTGTAGCTTTTAGAACTCACGTTATAAGTGAAGAGATTGTAGAAATGCTTAGCAACATTTTAGTAAGCTTGCTGAGCTCAGATTTAGATTGTATAGAAATATGGAGAAACTAATTACTTCATACTTTTTTGTATAAAAAACAATATTCAGAAGCTTTGCAGAATATATTAATTTTTTAAACTAACAGCTGATGTTAAAATCATTTTAAATTCACTGATTGTTGCAATGAGAGAGCATATAGAAGAACATGTTGTGCATTTTCTAAATTCAGCCTTTAGAGTGAATATATTTTATTTCACGTTCTTGATGCCCCAACATTTTCCTCGCCATCGTTTTGTATAATTTGTCTTTAAGTGTGACAAGTTTTACGCTATTTTTTATTATTAATTAGTTTTTTTAAAATAATATTTGAAGGTAGACATCTTTCAGTTTTGGCTTTCTTCATTTCTTGGTTCAAAACAGAAATTTTCTTCAAAAGCAAATATTCTACGATGCTATCCCTAACAAATTTAGTGATCCTTCAGGAATAATTTTTTTCCATCAATAAAATAGCTAGAATGGAAACAAAACCACTCCTTATTCAAATGGAATTTTGGACATAACTCAGAAGACAATGGAACTTAAGTCAAGAGCCAGAATACCCACCATTCTGATCAGTGAGCAGTTAAAACTAACCTTCAAGTTAAATTTGTTTTATTTCAATTTCAGTTCTCTGATTGCATTTATCTGTTATATTATATATTGTATTTAATTATAAATCTTTTACTTGCACAAAATTTGAGATTTAAGAGAATATCTCCACTTTCTGGCATTTAACCCTTTCCTTCTCACTCCCGCGAAATTTCCGGGCTGGAGTGTTCAGTAACGTGCCAATAAGAATGAAACTAATTCATTTCTTTTCCTCGGAAAACATTTCATTTCCCATTTTACACACCAGATGGCAGTACTAGGATATTTTTAGGGTAATTGTAGATATTTAGTTTATTTTAAACTAGATGTCAGCACTAATCAAATACGTGTATTTGGTAAAATAGGCACTTTTATGACAGTTTTCTTGAAAATTAACCGAGCGTTAAGGGGTTAAACAACGGAAATATTTTAAACTCTTCATGTATTTCCAGGGTTATAACGATACAAAACACTCCAAACAACAAAACTCACCTAGTATTGCATTGTATTTTTCTTGAACTATTCTATATAAAATGATTTATATTTTTCAGTACTTTGAAAAACTCTTCACCAAGTAAGCCTTCCATGCCAAGATGACTTGTTGTTTAGTTGGAGGTCTAACCACTGGATTGAGATATGCTGGCATATTCATACCATCGCATTCCGTGTTTTTGCTGATGAAACACACTACTTGTGATAAACTCTATTAATTATTGTATAGTGTTGATTGTTATTAGTTTTATGATAATAACTGAGCTTCTTGTGCCTTTTTATACGTTTTGAAAAAACAACATTCCTATTTGTATAAAGCTTCATTACTGATGAGCTAAAATGGATGTTCTTAAAATATTAACTAACTATCGTGATTTTTATGTGCATTTTATAATTTTTTAATAGTTATAGTTGATTATCATTGATTGCTTTTTTTTTTAAAAAAAAATACAATACTGGCATGATCATAAGTCTTATTCATTTTTTAAAAAAATGCTTAATTTTTAAAGGGTTTTAATTTGTGTCCCTTGTTTCTGGATATTGATTTTTGTAGTAGTATTTATCAGTCCATTTAAATTTAGTTTTAATTATGTTTTGATTATAAAATTTTGATTCAAGTAATTTAATTATTGCTATAGTTTAAAGTGTATTTGTTGTGGTGGATATATATGGAGGGCTAAGAACAATTTAGTGATAAGCCACATTTCAGCATTAAACTGTTCCTTAGTATTTTTTCCAGGTTAGTACTTTATAAGTTCTTGGCATTTTTTGCAAGTAAAGCGCAATATACAGAGACTTCTTATTAACTATGTGGGATTTTTCAGGAAAACATTTCTCAAAGCAATTTGAAAGCGGGATTTATCATTATATTTAATCTTTGCCTTTTTTTAAAATTTTATTTCCTTATTTTTTTGGACCTTTATTTTGTTGAGTTATTGTCTATTGTTATTGGGAACAATTAATATATTTTATAAACTATTGTAAGTTTTAATTGTAATTATAGTTGATTTAATAAATTTAAATTAAAAGTGTCGAAAATCTTTCATGTAGAAAGTTTTATAAACCTGTTTTTTTATTCTAACGAGTAATCCATTAATCACAAATTTAAACTTTTATTAATAATATAGTTTTATGCTGACAATGAATTGCTTTATTTGTTTTTGAAATATTCACTTTTAGAATTGTAGTATTTTGTTTTTAAGAAAAATAACACTATCATCACAAACAGTAATGATAAAATCTATATTAATAACTTTTTAATGAAATTATTTTAAAGATAGTTTTGCAAAACTGTTCTAATTAATTTGACACTTCATTGTTTATGCAACTAAGAAATGTACTTAAGATATTAAATTTTTATTTATTTTATAATCATTTGTTATATTTGAACTGGTAGTACAATATTCATTACGGATTCAATCAAAATAAATATAGAGCTTAGACTTTTATTAAATGGCTTATTCTGTTGTTTAGTTTTGTAGATAGATTTAACCCCTTCAGCACCTACAGATGGATATAGGAACTATTCACCAGGCTTGCATATTCCAAGTTGATGCGACTAAAGAGCGCACATTGATACTATTACAAAAAATAAGAGAGTACTGTAGGTCTGGGTGATCTTGCACTGCTAAAGTCAGAAAGACTAGTCTCCTCTATGATATTGGGGGAAATGAAGTGAGAATCTCACGATTCCGAAGGGGTTAATATGCATCTGCTTCTCATAAATTTTTTGTATTTATTAATTTTGTTCTAATTTATTTTAGTATGTTGAAAATTAATATAATATATCATAATATGTAGTATAAATTATTATGATATGTACCTAAATAATATTACAGGTTATTGAAATATCTAACTTTCGTAGTACCTCAATTATACGATACAATTGGGACCAGACCTGACAGAAATGATAATACGTATATCCTACAACCTTTTTTTTACTGTTGGCATTTTTTAGGTCAATATTTTCCATTTTATAAAGATTTTAAGTTGAACTTAAATTATAATTATGCTATATAAAAGTAAAGCATTCCTGCAACAGCCCATTGTGGGCCAGAGGAGTCATGGAGGCTAAGCTCTACAATTTCGTGAGAGATGCCATGATCATGTCAGTGTGATTAGCGTTGAATGCAAGCTGCCTTACTTCCTAAACTGGCACCTATTGTTCCTGTAAGATGGTTTTCAGTAATTTTTTGAAAGAAAAATTGTGATTTCTCAGGAAAACATACAGTTTCAGTCTTATTAAGCTATTAATTAATTAATCTGTTCTGCAAAATTCTTAATTTTCCCAAATCCCAGTGTATGAAGGTATTAACTTACAATAGTTGAATGTTTTCGGAGTGGAAGAAGGTTCTAAGTGCATCAAACAGTCCATTAGCCTGTCTTGTAAAGTGGAAAGAGTTCAATCACTGTGACGCAAAAAGTTTAAATGAGTGTTAAAGATTTATTGATTTACTCTATAAGAATTTTTAGCAAAAGTTCAGAAACCATTTTATTTATTTTCTATTGTCAATTTTCAAAATTAAAAGTTAATTTGCAATGCTATTATTTTTCTCTATGCTAGCGGTTCAATAGCATATGCATGTCTGTTGGGCAGCAGATGTTCTTTTTCTCTTTAGACTGTATTTCAATATCTGTGCTTTCCATATGTTCAATTAAAATTTCCTGTTTTCTGTTGTTATAGGATAACTAGATTTAGTTAAATCTTTTTATTCGCATGGCCTTTATGCTAAATAACATTTATTTATTAGTCGATATATTAATAGACTGTCCGTCAGTGAAGTGTAAAAATCACTTATATTGCAATTCAATCAAAATCCATTCAACTTTTCAATTCAGTACTTGCAATACGAGAAGAATTGAAGTGATTATAACCTAACCATGTGATTTAAATCAGATTTAATTGGATACCTGTAGACGGCATCACACGTTGGTGTCGAACCTGATTGGCTTCCAAATCGAGCTATGTGACGATTTACCTATGATGATGGCACTTGCAGGTGCCCATTTATTTAAATAAAAATATTACTCGAATGAATATTGTAACAACTGATTAAGTTATTACTTATCAGAAACTTCATTAATTATATTGTGAACGCTGTGAAGCCTATGTTCATAGAGAAAAAATATTCTGGTAAAAAAAAAAAAAAACCTAATTATTCTAGTATTTAAACTACTTCTTTGGTACCTTTTCTGTTCTGTTGAATAATGGCTTGACGGAAATTCTGGTTTTCAAAATTATTGTTGCTATTACCACTCATTTAGTAAAAAAATTCGAAACTGTAAAGTACGAAATAAATGGTTTTTATGCCATGTTCTAATATATTATGATAAAATTACTAAATTTTATCACAGATTATAAAACCATATTTTATTGTTAATTTTTCTAAAATCCTAATCAAATTTGCTTGGATAAAAATCACTGAGATTTTTGATTTTTTTGAAAAAAATTATGAGTTACTTTTTTTTCAAAACTTTTCTTAAATAAATATTGTACCCGTTATTAGTGACATATATTTTTTATGTTTTATTTGCAGTAAACATAATGTACGGCTTAATATCAGTTAAACTTAATATGAAATAAATATTGAAAGCTGAAAGTGTTATTGTTTTTATAACAGGAGATAAACTTAGACTAAGCATTGTTTTTAATTATCTTTTTGCTATGTATATACTTATTTAATTCGCAAAAGCTTTAGTATTGTTTTAATTCTAAAATGTGTGATATTTGTCTGGGAATTGCTGAAAAAAAAAAGCATTGTTTCAATTTTAACTAGTAGTTTGTTGAAGTTATTCATACTTTCTAAATTCATGGTGCTTAATTAAGGCGTGAATATAAAAGAATTTTGTATTTGACAATCAATTAACTTTTTTTCTTCTTAAAACTTAATTTGAATAATTATTTTGAATGAAATGTGTTTATGTTATAATGGCTAAGTTTGGATACTCTGTGAATAAGTTTGTTACTAATGTTTTTTAGTTGTTGATGTTTTATAAAGAATTTAAATACGTTTCTTACATGAATAAAATGTATTTGTTTTATGAATTAGGTTTGAAGTTTATTTATGGTTAAAAATATCTGGTGTGAATATCTTTTTGATTTTAGTTTTGGTTATAAGGAGTTTAGAAAACTTGCATGTTGCAACAAATTTTCATAATCGCTTAGTGTTTTTCAGAATTAAATGCTTTGAATAATTGTTTACAGTTCTTAATAAAATTAATAGTTGGCGAACATGTTTTAAATCGATTTTTTCTTAAAGCATGAATTTTTCAGAGTTTTAATTTTTTCCTCAATTTGTTTCAGATTTAAACAACTGAAATATTCTCTAATTAGAAAAACTGTCTGTTATCTGTTTAAAAGTTTCTCACTTTAAGTTATCTGTTTAAGAGTTAAAGATTCTATGAGAGAAACCCATTATCATGCAGTAATTTATACTTAAAGGGATAAATAAAAGGGTATAATTTACTATGAATATTCATGATTATACCTAAGTCGTCACTAATCTAGCCAAATGTTTGAATTAAAATAAAGAATTCAGGAAAAACACGAAAATTAAATTGCCCGACGTACCCGTGAAATGCCATTTTTACCCTTAAATACCCGGTCCGGCATGTATTTAGCGAAATTGTAAAATACAGATTAATCTCTTGAAAATTTGAAGAAATCCTTGGAAGTTCCGGGATCTTGGAACTGCTCTAAATATCTTATGACAGTCGGATTTTCATGTTTTAGGATCAGGTCTGATTGTGCTCCGGAAAAAAAATCCGGATTTCCGGAATTTTCGTTAACAGTGATCCGGAAGTTTCCGGAGATCGAAGGTCCAGACGTTTCAAAAAATCATTGATCACAGAAGTTTCCGGAAATCAAATTTTCAAAAGTGGAACTTAAAAACTCAGTTTATTTTATTTGTTCGTAAAGGAGAGACAGAGAGATACTTTATAAGCTTATATTCGTGATTAATATTAATTTTTTATCAGTAAACAGTTGTTATAATCATAAACTCAAGAAAGACATATTCGTAGATTTTAATTACTTCTCCAAATCATCATAGGTATGTGTAAATGGTATAGGTATGCGTAAAATTTTAAATATATTTTAAGCAAACTAAGAAATATTCAAAATCTTTAAATAATAAATGTAATGCGGTTTTTAGAAACTTTGACAAATACAATCTTTGGTTAAACCTGTTGAAGCGCGCTTCAACATTGTTAATGTTTACAATGAAACTATTCTACTAATTAGGATTCTTAAAACATTGAAGATGCCCCCTNATTCAAAATCTTTAAATAATAAATGTAATGCGGTTTTTAGAAACTTTGACAAATACAATCTTTGGTTAAACCTGTTGAAGCGCGCTTCAACATTGTTAATGTTTACAATGAAACTATGACGAATTTCGTTTTAATTAGGATTCTTAAAACAGTGAAGTTGCCCCCTTAAATAATTTTTAAAATATTTTATTTCTTTTGTAAATTATTAAAAAATTTATTAATATTATTTTTTTCAATATGGGCGGGGGGTCAGGACTAATATGACCCCCCCCCCTGGGTCCGCCTTTACCAACGTTGATCATATGATATTACAACGATAACTTAGATTTGATCATTGTAAGAATTCCCATTTAGAAAAGGTTAAATGAAGAAAATGCTTATGCTTGAAAAATTTTGGGTGTCTCCTTTTTAATCCACTCCCCTCAATATATTGCGACTAAAACATGCAAAAAAGAATCTTTGTCAAAACAAAATATTGCTAGAGCTAAACCGAAAATGCAAACGTAAATTCGAGCTTGGTATTCGCAGTCGTCTCACAAAATAAAAACGTGCTGGTTTTTGTCTATTTTTTCATTAATTTTTAGTTTTTTTTAAACTAAATCAATTAAAAAGCAATCATGCATAACACCTAAATTAAATATCCAAGATCATGTTAATATATCCAACATAAGCATCTATATATTTCTCTCACACGGCGACAAAAAAAAGCCTCATTACAACTCCCTGTTATATTTGCTTTATGGAGACATATAACAGTACCTAAAAATGTGTCTCTCATTNGGTGGCTCAACATGTAGCGCTTTTAAAAACTGAAACTGCAATAACCAGAGAGAGCATTCTCACAAATGTGATCTCTTCCGAAACTCACCTTTTCAGCTATTAAGCTAGGCAGAAGTGAGTAGTCTTTGTCGATAGATCTCTATTTTAGTATTTTGTCGAAAGCGCTTTTTTTTCACGAATTTATATAATACGAATTTATTTGAGGATTTTTGATTTATATCACGAATTATACTATGGCACATTTCTAATATGTTTAACGAATTACATTTCATTTATTTGAATTCAAATTTATTTTAATGACTTAGTATTTACTAAAAAGATGTAATTTTTTTTAAAAAAGAAGTTGTTATATGGATTTGAATGATTATATTGGATTCTTAGAATTTTGTGCATTTGCAATGTACCTAAGTTAGTAGCGAGTGAAGCGAGCTTGGTTTGCGAAGCAAACCATATAAGATTGCGTAGCAATTTTCGGGGATTGGCGAGCGTTAGCGAGCAGGGGGCGCAGCCCACTAGTTTAATTAAAATTCATATCCTGTATCAGGGGTCTGTTAAGAATAAATTTTGGTCCGTTAACGGACCCTTCACAAAATATCTTTTCATAAAAACGGACCCTTCATAAAATATTTTAACTTAAAAACGGACCCTTCACAAAATAATTTATCTTTTAATCGGACCCTTCTCAAATTTGTTTATCTTCATTATTGTTTTGTTAATCGAATAAACACTTCCCAGGAGGGGGGGGGGATGACAGATGTAAACGAACTAAGTTTTGTCTTCGGCACACGCTTATTTCTTTATTCGTCCGAAATGAATTTTCTGCGTTCAGCAGTATAGGCTAAATATCAAATATATGTATGTTTCATCTCTAATTTAGAAGTAGCAATTGCTGTTAATTTTTTAAAATTTAATTTTCTTAAATTATAATTTTACAGGGTTGAACATAATCTTGCATGTCTTTACAATTTAAAAACTCCTTGAAAAAGTTTTTTTGCAATGACTGACCCTATTTGCACAAATTCACAAAAGCGGACCCTGTTTGAAAAAATGTGACTTTAACGTTTATTTTATATTCACAAATTGCGAGTAATTTTTTCAAAATTTTACAAAAACGGACCTTTCACAAAATGTCTGGACAGACGTCTGTGTATGATTTGTGGCCATTTTGGTATTACTTAACTTAAACGATGTAAAAGAAACAGTAAAACTGAAGAGTCAAGATCATATTTAGAGTTTAGAAAAAGTAGTAAAATTTTCAAAAGAGCAGTTAAAGTAATAAAAGATAAAACTTTACAATAAAGAAACAGTTATTAACTACACATGACGAAAAGAACTAGCATGTCTTTTTTTTTTTTAATTTGTAAAAAAAGTATGTGTGTAATTAAGTTGCTTTAGGAAGTAGCGAATGGAATAAGAAATATATTCAACTCAAATTGCACTAAATTTATTATAACATTGGTTTAAAAAATATTTTTTATTCATACTAAACACCCATTTATTTATAGAGATAGTTTTATCGTAACTTGGGAAAAACAATAAGCAAGTGGAGAATTTATTGAATAATCAAACTCGCATTATTGTCTTTATTTTTTTTTAAAGTACGAGTTTAAAAAGAAATTAAAACTCTACAGATTATAAGTTTTGAAAAAGTCGAAAGGTAAATTTAAAAGAGTATTTTTCAGATTATTTTAATATTTTTTTTTACGCTTAATGTTTGATAAGACAAGATTCATAAAAATTCAAAATTGGCATTTTAAAATTCTTTCCTTAAAACTACGATTGAGAAGAGGAATGGAGGGGGGGGGCAGTCTCTGTTTCTTATTGGCGACTGATCGGTTGCGTCACAACTTCAAATCAAATTTTTCTTTTTTGATGTTCAGTGTTGTTTCTAATCCCCAAGAGGTCCATCCCTAATTAGACCAATTCCATAAGTCCAAAAATGTCCAGGAAGTCTAAAAACAGATGAGGTTTTGAAAAAACCTCGCCGATCTTAAAATCGATACAGTTTAGAATATGCTCGGGCGAAGCCTGAGCAGTTCTACATTTAGTGCAAAGTCCAAAAGTCTTTTGCCCCTGAACATACGAGAGACACCTCAAGTGACCACTTGCAAAGCGAGATAAACAAGTCTGCTGGCTTCTAGGTCCCTCAAAAAGCAAGGCACTTCCAGGTCGTTTTCTGAAATACCAACTATGCGGAGGAGGAACCCTCCAGAGGTCCATAAACATTTTTTTGCACTCTGAAAAGACCTCGTTGAAAGTGGAAGGTAGATCTGGCTGTAGAGGTTCCAAAGAAGCATCTTTAGCCAGTGAGTCCGCCATCTCGTTACCTTTGATTCCAACGTGTGATGGAATCCATTGGAAGTGTACTCCAAAGTCCGCAGAGAGCCTGAAGAGCATCCCCAAAATTGAAGCCGCAGCCCTGTCTCCAACATTCCTCCAGTTGCTAAGGTGTTGGATTGAAGATTTGCTATCCGTCAGTATCCATATATGCTTAAAGTCAGGCTCAGCAATATTCTCAACATGTCTTAGGCCATTTTCAATCGCAATAAGCTCAGATCTGAAAACTGAGCAAAATTCAGAATTTCTAATTTTGAGACTCAATGTGTACGTGGGTGTTTTAATAAAAACCCCACTACCTGAATGACCTTCGTCGCTCTTGCTGCCATCTGTGTATAGTTGTAAAGCATCTGATGGTATTTGGCTAATAGTTTCAAGAGCCATTTGTTTCATAAATTCTGGGTTGTCTTTACTTTTATAGGCCGGGTACAACAGCTCCGTATGGAAATGGATACCTGAAAAATCAGTAACAGGGCTAAAACGTGACCTCAAGGAGTGAGGCTCAATTCGGCAGGGATATTGCAAGTCTACAAGATGAATTGAAACAGCCAAAGAGAAGGGACTGTTTCTCTTCAGTCTATGGTTATTTTTCCAATTTTTGAGATAGTAAGAGGTTCTGTTCTGGTCACCAAAACTGATGAGCTTATTGTAGTATTT